ACAGCAAACTGAGTGCCAGTTGTGTGTACCTTCTGACTGTTGCAGATGTGGTGCTGTTTTCTTAGTTTTACTATTCTTATGTATAACAGCAAGCAGTCTGTGTTATGTTTGGGTGCAAGGCAGACAAACCAAATCACAAGCAGGTCTTTATGCTACAGTGTCATTTGGACTTTTCCTCACATAATTTGTATTTTGGAATGATTCATGCCACTACTCAGTGTTTCTGATTCCTTTGAAAACACTAAAATGTCTGTAGTTTAGCCAGAAAAACATTAAATATGCATGATTGCCTTTTGCAGGAAAATCTTACCGGTGATTCCTTAGGCCCTTTTGTATGCATTGGTTAGGTTTATGTAGAAAAGAGCTTTTTGGGAAAGGCATTTTAACCTTCTGTTATCCTGTTGCAACCAGTTTAGAATTACGTGCAGAATTACGTGCCTTCGGACACACCAGGGGTGCAGTGGCACGGAGAGGGTGCGATGCTGTCACCTTTTGGTGTGTGTTTGATCAGTGCTTGTGCAGACTTGCGATGGGCTTTCTGTCGTGGTTTCTGTAGCCAGCCAAGGGAAACCTCTGTTACCGAAACGTACAGTGAGAGCTGCGTCGTTCTTGTGCAGGAATTAATAAGTACGTTTCAAGTGTAGAGATTGTATAGTCGAGTGGATGGAGCACTTGACAGGAGTCTGAGAATAGTGTATCTTTCTTCAGCTTAGACATTGAGTCATTGTGTGATGTTTGGCAAATTGCTTCAACTCTTTCTGGCTTTTTTTCCCCCACAGGAAATAGAAGACTCTACTTTGGAATGAGATTTGTAAGAGCCAGTGTAATAAATAATGGTTATAATCATACAGTTCTCTGCAAAAGCTTGGATAATAATCTTCAGCAGTGGCATTAGTTTGAATTTTTTTTATTAATTGAATAGAAGTTTCACAAATTGATCCTTGATGGACCGATGCAGAAGTTTTAGTGGTTTGTTTTGGTTTTTTTACTAGTAAACAGAATTCTTATTTTAATGAGAAGGAAGATCTTTATAATTTGAAGCCAGTTGCCAACAGAGGGTTGCAAATTGTTAATGCAAGGTTAAACTAACTTATAAATGGGGGACATTTCAAGTGTCTTTAACACTGTTATGGAAATGCCACAGTTCTGCTGCTCCTAATATAACGTTTGCATTTTATTTTGAAACAGAATGTTAGCTTCTGCTGAAAAGATCATGAGACTGTCTAGATGAAGAGGGACAGGACAATCCATTTCTTTGTGCTTGCATCACATCCTTGTACCAAATGATCAGTGGTTTTCCTCATCACCTCTGGTCTGAGCAGATTTGGGATTCTGCAGTGAAATGATGTCCCACGTGTGCCAGTGGTTATGCTGCTGTCTTGGTCTGTGCAGCAGTTACGTCTCTGAGCTAAAGGCAAAAGAAACCTACATTGGTATTGCTTAAATGAAACATAGGTTAAAAAAGATGATAAATGGTGCCTGTTAGCTTTTCTGGATTGTTGATTTTAGTATTTTCTACAGGTGCCCAGCTACCCACTGTAGCAATATGTAAAGCCATAACGTTCATCTTCTCCTCTCACCTATGCAGGACATAGTTTAAAAAACACAAGGGTGACCACTGTCTCCTGAGGAACAGACAAGCAATTAGTGGGTTTGAGCACTGATAACACAGAACAATGATCAGCTGCACTGTGCTGCGGGAGCTATACTATAAAGGCTCAGCAAATGCTAGTTTGTCCTAGATATGTCCTTTTTGCTGTCTGCCACGTGCTGACATAAAAAGCTTTAGAACATACCTGAATGGGGCTTTTAGAAATTCTTCTGCTGGTTAGTAACCTGTAAGAAAATACCTTTTTTTAGAACGTTCTTCCTTCCTCCACTCTTTGACTCTTATTCTTCTTTTTTCCCCCGGATGGATCCCTGCGGCAAGAAAATCTCTTCAGCTTGAATTCTTTTTTCTTTGCTGTCCTTTTCAGTTAATTTTCAATTCACTTATGTATATTCGATGTCTTCGCTTGTTCTCCCGGGAGATGTCAGACAATAACCTCCTACGCTGTAGTTCAGGGGCTTTCTGAGAATGCACGTGGGGTAAATTGAGCAAGGTGAGAACTAACTAATGATAATTAATTCACGAATGCTGTATTATACAGTTATATATATTGTTTAAAGAGTAGAAGTGCCTCATCATACCAGAGCTGCAGATTATTAATATTCCCTCTACAGTGGTCCCTAATTAGTTAGAACAGGTTTGACCAATTCTGCTCTCATGCAATGCTCACATACCAGCCCTTAAAAGGTCACAGTTAGTGGGATCGAAAAAGCCTCTTACAGTTTTGCTAACATTTTGTTAACAATTGAGTCTAAATAGATACAAATAAAAAATGCAGAGGGCAACACCAATTGCTGATACGGTAGCTGTTACTTCCCGTTGCTTTGGTCAGAGGCTTTACACTATGCAAATTTGTTCGATACAAAGAGATCTTAATGGATTATAAAACAGGGCTGTCATTAACCATTTGTTTTACATCTTACTATGATTCCCTGATTCTTTGGGCAAAAGTGGGTTATATCTGACTGCTCTGCAGACTGAAGCGTGTAGGGATTGCTGTAATCTGTGTTTTGCTGTCTGTGTCCCTAGAGGACTCATTGCCAGCTGGAGAGAGACAAAAGATGGTGCTCCCACCAAGATCACACTGTTCCTCCCCTTTCCTCTTCTGTCGAGTGAGGCGATGAAAAGACCTGCTATGACAAGCAGAGGGTAGCTGAGAGTTTTCCCACAATCTGGGTATTAGCTGGCCTGATCAGGCAACTATTTGGTCTCTTACTACTTGTGCCTGACACAAATGTGTCATCACATAGGAGAGAAGCTGACATCTAAAATGCTTTCCCATAGGCAATGCAGTTTTTTAAACCAGTGGTGCACGATAAGCTTAAAAGAACAGAGATAGTGATACATATTTATGGCATCAGGAGTCCCCCAGCATTAAATTAGGCAATTTTATATGACTGCTGAGAACCCTCAGCTTCTTTGCTAGTCTGTGCAGTTGCTTTCAGTCATCTGTTAAGAACATCTCTTAAATTCTTGGGTTGCCCTGCAACCCTCTGTTTTGGTTAGGGACGGGCAGCAGTCACAGCCATCGGAACGGAAGGCATGGCATGAAGTTACAGGACAACGTTACGGGAAATCTTGGTTGTTTCTAAGCTTGATCTGGGAAAGCATTCATGAAGGTGCTGAGGTTTTAACATCTTTGCACTAAGCCATTTGAAAAGCAGGATTTGCAAAAAAGGTGCTGACAGTGTATCTCCAGGATACAAAAGGAATTTAGAGGAATAATGCTCTGTAAGCTGCTCTAACTCTTTAACCTACTATTCTACCAGGCACCATGTGTTCAGAATACTTGTATTTCAAAAGTAGGATACAGCATAGGACAGAAGTGTCTGAAGCGTGTCACAGGTAACATTTCCCGAGTACTTTGTTGGACCTGGAACTGCATTTTTCAATGGCTAATAGTTCAGAAGCCGTTCTGACAGAGGACGTGGCTTCACCGGAGTCACTATATGCTGTGCTTAGAGCTGTATTACCAAAACTGTCATATACATTGTGTACTTTGCAGCTCTGGGTCAAATTGTGAAGAGCTGAGATAAGAAACACGTGAAGTAGCCCATAGGTGCCAAGACAAGAGCCGGCATCCTGGTGCAGGTGGCAGGCACTGGCAGCTGATGCAGTTCCTCAGTCAGGCTTCCTAACCT